ATGTACTGTCACACTTGTCTCTCCTCAGATAGTCTATGGTCTTGCACTTTAGGTTTCTCTTTAGAAACTCTGAGGTAAGGCCTGCACTCTAGGACTCTGACCATTACTCATCTTATGTGACCAGGTCTTGAGAATAAACTAGGGAAAATACAGTATCTTTTCTCTTAGAAGGAGGAAGAAAGGAGGAAGCAAAAGAGGGAGAAGGAAAAAAAAAGATAAAAAACGATGGTTATTGTGGTACACAATGCCAGCTACTCAAAAGGCAGAGGCAAGAGGATTGCTTGAGCCAGGAGTTCAAGACCAGCCTGGGCAGCATACCAAGATCCAGTGTGGAAAGAGAGACAGGAAGAAAGGGAGGGAAGGAAAAAAGGAAAGGAAGACAGATAAAAGCCAAACCCAAACACGTTGCCACAGCTATAAAGAGAGCAGGGGGGCTCACAGCTCAGTGGCAGGGCACCTGCCTTAGGGAGCCCTGGGTGTGACAGTGAGGTAGGACAGGCCATTACAATCTTTTTGTAATTTTCCTGTCTTCCCAAGAAAGGAAGAGGTTATTCATTTCTTAAAAAGTACATTTCTCCTGGGGATGTGGCTCAGAGGTAGAGCACATGCTTAGCGTGGCCATTCCCAGCACCAAAAATAAATACATAAATAAATAACTACCTCATCCAGCACGCACTCTGAAGTGAGCGCTGTGCTGGGCCAGGAGACATAAGTGAAGCAGATATCAAATATTTATCGACTGCTTATGCAACGTCATGTTCTGTGTTAAGCACTCAGCGTACATCCTGCTCTCAAGGCCAGTCTAAGGCAGGGGCCATTTGTGGGTGTGGCTTTTTTGACAGAGGGACGGAGCCAGCTGAAGCTCTGATGGTGTGGTACCTGGCTGCAGGTCCCCCGGTGATCAGTGAGCAGCCTGGACACAGCCAGGGCCCCTGCCCTCGGCTCCTGAGGCTTCTCCTCCCGGTACTGTCAGTGGCTGGGTGAGTCAGGACGAGCTGGCAACATGCAGGCCCGGTTCTTGCATCCCATCCTGTCCTTGGCCTAAGAAAGGACACTGTGTAGGGACGGATGTGGGCTTGGATAATAGCGCCAGCGTCACTGCCGATGAGAAGCCCGTGTTCACTTCCTCCTGGCCACCACCTGAAGCTGGTCGCAGCTCCTGTCCTTGTTAGCACAGTTACAGCCCTCTCAGCGCCACTGAAAACAGCTGGGTTTGTCTCAAGGCCCAAATACGCATTTCCTTCCTTCCCCGGGGCTTCCTCGGGCTACCCAAGAATACAGCCTGTTTCTGAAATTCTCTTCCGAGCTACCCAGGATTTCCCTTGCGCTTCCAGAGAAAAGGAGAAGACTGCTGTCGTGAGCTCCTGTTGGACAAGATCACAAGGAAGTAGCCCAGCGACCTCTTTCTTCTATTTTGAGCTTAGGAGGAAGGGGGCCTTGCTGCCTGTCCTTGAGTCAGCGGCCCCGGAACTGAACACTGTCCAGATGGTGGGTCAGGAGGAGGGACCAAAAACTGAAGAGTTTTCCTGTCTAATCCAGCAGTCAGAAGCCTTGAAGACTTAAGGGGTCCACAGAGATCACTGCAATATTCTAGTAGGAGCAACCTAACTGCCCATCTGCAGGGGGCTGATGAAATCACCAAGGACAGACCTCTCCCTGGGGACTGAGATTGCCACGAAACGGTGTGTGGCGGCCCTAGCGGGTGTGGCTCTAGGGAAGCACTCAAGTCAACAGTGCACGCGTGGGTACGTGCTTCTGCAGAAGGAGTGGATTTCTAGGAATGTGCACGAGACTGCCGACTGGCTACTTCTGGAGAGTAGCAATGAGGTTTGAGTGGGGAGTAAGACTTTCACTTGTCCTTTTTACATCTTTTGCACCTTAAACTGTTTTTTAAGCAATGAGCATGTGTTGCTTTGACAATAAGGCGACAATGGTAAAGTAGGACAAAGAAAGACTTAAGAAGGTTCCCAAACCAAGGGCACTGTGCTGAGGGCAGGAGGAATGACAAAGCGGGGCCAGAGATGATGGAACTCCGCCCTAGTGGCGCACAGGCAGGAACTGGCAGGGCATTGCTCTCTGTAAGGCCAGCTCAGTGACAGAAGAACACAAAGCCAAGACCGAAGTTCATCTCCAAGGAGAGGGACCAGACTGTTCTCACAGCAGATAGCGTGTAGTGAGTATTGGGCTGTGTCTCAGAGCAGTGTGTAACCTGCCTTACCCAGCGTGAGCCTGTGTAATCTGCACAACCACCTGATGAGGCAGCCCTGTCTCTGTGCCAGTTGATAGATGAGCACCTGAGGCTCAGAGGAATTAATTGCTTGCCCAGGCGCACTCACAAATACACACAACTGCCCACCTACCAACACTGGGTATTTGTAGGCCTGGGATTTAACCCAGGTGGCTGTTTCTGGAGGCAGCTTTCCTGTCACTTGCCGAATGCTACCGAATGTGTGTGTGTGTGTGTGTGTGTGTGTGTGTGTGTGTGTGTGTGTGTTTGGAACCCTTACTAAGGTGCTGCTAAGTGGCAGGACAGGACATCCTTCCATGTTTACCACGTGGGAACACCCAGGCCAGAAGGAGGAAGACAATGCTAACCTGTGTAGACTGGAGAGTGTCTTGGATAGGGTGCAGCATCGGGATTTGCGATAAGCACTGTTTGGATTTTAAAGTTGGGGAGATCAGCAAGGCCTAAAGTTGTCAGTGAAGGTGTCTCAGAGGAGGGAAGATTTACATCAGATCTGGAAAGATGGAGTGATTCAGGGAGAGGTGAGAACATTCCAGAGGAGAGAATGCGCAAGGTCTGTGTTCGGTCTGCTGTACTCTCCGAGACGCTGAATCATCTTGCTTGGCCAGAGCGAGTTGTGTATATGCAATAGGAGGTGGGTGAGTATAGGGAAAGAAAACAGATGGTGTTAGAAGTAATTGTGAAGGCTGAAAACTGGCAGAGGAGTTACAGTTTAGTGGGAAAGGAAATGAACCTCAGAAGGTGTTTCAGGCAGTGAACAGAAAGGATGAAAGTGGCACTTCCAAGAGACTGATCTGACAGGTCGAGGAGACTTGGAATGAAGGGAGGAGCCGTGTGAAATCCTGTGCACAGCACGAGGTGATGAAGGTCCAGTAGGGGACAGCAAGAGGAGCACGGGAGAGGACTGTCTGTGAACCTTGCTGTGAAGGAAGATGAGGCCACAGGACTCGACACTGAACAAAGATAGACCAGAAAGGAGAGGGTCAGGGATAGCAAATTCCAGACCTTCAAGTCACGTGTCCAAAGAAGAATGCCTACGCCTAGGATCAGGAACGGAGAGGGAAGGTTCCGGTCTGCTATTGGAGGTGGGGTGCGGAGGGACAACATAGATAATGAATTGAATTTGCAGTCCAAACCTCCCTTACTCCAAAGTGGTAAAGACGACCTAGGTTTGTTTTTTTTTTTTCCCTCTGTCAGTTTTCTTCATAGTATAATGCATAGAACTTGCTTTATCTGGAGCAGTCCACTCAATCAGCAACTCCTTGTGTTTTTCTTGGTGCTGATGATTGCACGCTAGGCCAGTGCTCTACATTCAACCACTCTTTACTAAGGTGTCTTTTCTTATGGCTTGGGTGTTGAAAAAACAGCAGTGAGCAGAGCAGAACTGATACCTCTCCTCACAGGAAATGGGTATCAAACAAGAAATCATTGTGCCATGGTGACACACGCCTATCATCCCAGTACTCAGGAGACTGAGGCAGGAGGAATGCCGTGAGTTCGAGGCCAGCCTGCATTACATAGTGAGTTCGAGGCCAGCCTGGACTGAATAATGAGACCCTGCCTCAAACAACCACACACATAAAAAGAAAAATATTGTAAGAGTTCTTTCTATCAAGGTAGCATTTATCTTTCCTCCAGAGCAATCCTTTTCTCTAATCCAAATTCTGAAACTGGGGCCGGGGATTTAGCTCAGTGGTGCTGCCGCCTGCCTCACAAGCACAAAGTCCCGAGTTCAATCCCTGGCACCCTCCCCGCAAAAGGCCCCAAATCTGAAACTGGTGAGGACATTTTTACTTTATTATAGATTATATCTTTTTGCAGGGAGTGTAACAGGTATTGAACTCAGGACCATACCAAGTAGGTGTGGTGCCACTGAGTTACATCCCTGACCCAGATTAGATCTTTTAATTTAAAAAATCATGACTATTTTTGGCCTACAAATATTTTCAGAATGGCACCATGGCTGTGTATTCCCAGCCCTCATGCTTGAAATCTAGCAGAAGACACATAAAGGCAATGAGGTAATGATAATATGGTCTCACTAATGTAACAAGAAGCCAAGTGCTGGGTGTTGTGGGAACTCCTAGGCAAAATACTTGCCCAGCCTTATAGGGGTAGATGGCTCAGCAGGGACATTTCCCTGATGAAAATAATGACCTGATTTTTCTCATAAGTGTTAGCTACACAGAGGTGGGGTGGGGGCAGAGATAAATGTTCCATGCAAATGTAGCTTGTAGTTCAAAGATCCGGACCCTGGAGAGAATTAGGTTCATGGGGAAGCAGAGATTGTGGTGTCAGGGATTGATTTGGAACCTGGGATTTTATACCTAGCAAAATGATCAAAATGCAATGAATGCCAGGTGTTCAGATGTGTATACCCGTAGTCCCAGCTACTTAGAAGGCTGAAGCAGGGGGATCACTTGAGTACAGAGTTCAAGGCTAACCTGGATGACATAGTGAAACTCCACCTCAAAAAGAATCAATAAAAAATTCATTCATTAAAATGGAGGAAAAGCTGGGCATGGTGGCACACGCCTGTAATCCCAGCACTCAGGAGGCTGAGGCAGGAGGATTGCTGTGAGTTCGAGACCAGCTGGGCTACACAGTGAGTTCCAGGTCAGTCGTCTCAAGTACATAGTGAGACCCTGTCTCAGAAAACCAAAAAAGAAAAAAAAAAGTGAAGGAAAAATAAGAGTAGGGCTATTTTCAAATATGCAAGGTCTAAAAACTTTACCTCTTGTGCATCTCTTTCCAGGTACCTAGTGGAGGACTTGTACCAAGAAAACCGAGGAGCAAATCAAGAGTGTGGACCCCATGAGAATAACTAGTGAGCTCAGGTACATGGGGAGGGGCAACCAGAGGGCTGCATAGCTTGGACTTCAGTACAATGCCATTTCCTTCCTTCCGGCCTGCCTCCCTCCCTCCCTTCCTTCCTGCCTTCCTTCCTTGGGCTAGGGTGGGTTGCTAGGGATCATACCTAGGGCCTCACACCTGCTTGCTGAGCACTCTACCTACCGCTGAGCTACATCCTTAGGTATAATGTCAAAATTACTGAAAGTAACACTATAATAATATTCTAAAATCAAGATTTTATTTTTCTTCCATTTTTGAATCACAGGGGCCCTTTTGAACAATATTGTGATTGCCTTCAACCATAAACAGTAGTTTCATTCCTTTTTTATATATTTTTTATTCCTTTGAAAAGCGTTCTATTGCTTTTAAAAATTCTAGAAGCCACTGTATTATGGAAATGGAAAGATGTATACAACTACAGATGCACCTTGATTAGTGATGTCTACATCACTGTAAAGAAAGTTGAGCGTGCGTGATACGTACCTAACCTACCCAGTACCACAGCGTAGCAACACGTGTGGCTGACTAGGAGCCACCTTTGTCACTGCTGCCCACGTGATTGTATGGCATACTGCTAGCCTGGAAAAAAAGGACCAAAATTCAAAATACATTTCAGTTGCTTTTATACTCTCTTACAATTGGAAAATCATAAGTCAAACCATTGTAATTGGGGCCATCTCTACTACTTAAGCAGATTTGTTCCATTTGCCAGGACACCATAGAAGTCTGAGGTTAAGAAAAAAAAAAAATGTCTGTGTGACAGGGTCTTACTGTGTAAGCTCAGGCTGGTCTCGAACTCATGAGCTTTATTGCTTTAAGCCTCCTGAGTGCTGGGGGATTAGGAGCATGCGCCACTATGCCTGTCAGGAGATAACAGGAATTTTAAGGCTTTTGTAGGTGGCCGCAGGAGTGGCTTGCAGGTGATAAGGGGCCCCTGTGGAATTTCAGCAACACTTTGTTGAGTGTTCCCTCCTAAGCCGCAGAGGTGACCCTTGGAAGAGCATTTCCACAGAGCAAGCGGCCCTGTTGCCATGTGAGACACCAGGGTGTGCCAGCCAGTAAACTTTAAAATGCCATCATCGGTGGGTGGGGGGACACAGTATGCAAGTGCTTCTGCCAAACTTTGCCACGGCTGGACTAAGGCAGCGTGTGTGCGTGTCACGTGCCCGAGTTCTCTCGGAGGGCTGGAAGGTATTTATGGCCATGTTATGTTGTAGCAAGTCATAGTTGAGGCCAGAGCAGGGATCCAGATGTTCCCTAAGTCTGAAGCCAGAGAGAATCTTTTATTTATGGTTTCAGCAAATAGACATCTTTCTTCCAAAATCTATATTTTGAGTATATTGATAAAAGGTCTGCGCACTCTAACCAGGTTGCATGTTATTGATATAGGGGGAAGAGCTATAACTCCCAGACCTGCCAGATACCTGCAACGTGAGTTCATGTGCTCTAAAATCAAAGAATGAATTCTAGGAACGATGGAGGTTAAGAGTATAAAAATTTTATTAAGGGAAAGAAAGCTTCTGTCTAAGAGAGACAGAAGGGGAACCGGAAAGTGGGTTGCCCGCTCACCCACTTTTCAGAGATGTTTTAAATAGCAAAGCCAGTGGTGAGGCGGGTACAAAGTGGGACAAAACTGTAAGAGCCAATGAAAAATTACAAGGTGGGCATGAGGTGGGGCAAAACCATGACCAACCAATAAGATGACAAGTACAGCCACCCAGGTAGTATTGATTAAATGGAGTCAAATGGGGGAGCAAGTCTGATAGCAAGTGTGTATAAGGATTTTCAGTAAGGATGGGGGTCAGGGATATTTCCTGGAAAGGCTGGGTTAAAGCCTTGCCCCCCCCAGGTGATGGACACCTACTTAGAATATCAATCACTGCTCTTTATCCTCTGGAGAAGCACAAAGATATAGTAGTTTCTCTCCTTTTACAATGCTGGCCTGTGGTGACAATGTGTCTTGATTGTCCTCCACGTTGGCTCCTTGCTGTGTTGGCTCCTTGAGGGCGGCCCTGTCTGACTGCCCACAAGATATCTAATTAACTTACCTACCTGCAATATCAAGATGTTACCGGTTTTGCTGGTCGTAAAAAAGGGCATTTTCCAGTTCCCCATCAACTAGAAAAAAATCCCTCCCCGCCCTCTCTGACCATCCCTCCCTCAAAGCAGCAAGTTTTAAATAGAGCTGCTCTAAAGCTGTTGGCCGGTCACCTGGAAAATTCCTTTTGCTTTGTTATGCTGTGAATGGCCCATCAGTTTAAACCTCTGCTTCCCAGAAACTTTTCTTTTCCTAACTAGATTGGAGAAAAAGGGAGCAGAGGTTAGAAAGAAAAGAAATTTGGGGGGGGAAAAAAAGGATTGTCATTTAAGGGTTTGAGGATGATTCAAAGGTAGCCAATCCCTGGGTGGAAGGAAGGAAGGAAGGAATTTCTTCTGCGTGGATCTATCTGTGCAGCTGGCAGCACACTGACATATACGAAATGATTTTAGGCAATGGTGAAGGTATTCCTTTTGGTTGTTTTGTTTTTGTTTTTTTGAGACAGGGTCTCACTGTGTAAGTTGAGACTGACCTGGAACTCACTGTGTAGCCCAATGAAGGTATTCCTTTATTCTCCCCCCTCCTTTTTCTCCATTTTCCCCCAGTACTAAGATTGAACCTGGGGTGATCTACCACTGAGCTACACCCCTAGCCCTTTTTGTTTTTTATTTTGAGATATGTAGTTTTACTAAATTGCTCGGGTTGGTTTTGAACTTGAGATACTCCTGAGCAGCTTGGATTACAGGTGTGTGCCACTACACCCAGGGAAGGTGACAATTTTTGAATGAGGTAATAGCTCAGCCATGTGAGATTTTGGCAAACAGAAGTCTTCTGAAAGACGGATAATCTCAGGGGCCCTAGGGTGGTCGGTGAGTCAATACCCTGGAGCTACCCCTCAGTCACGTTCTGTATTCTCACTTGCTTGGTAAAGTCAGCACCTTTGGAGAATCTTGTGTTGTTAGTTACAAAACTGGCAATTAGATTTACCGTCTGGCCCAGATACATAAAGGGCTAAAGACTTTTTCTGTATTAGCTCATTTAATTCTCACTAGCAACTCTACACGCTAAGGACTATTACTGTGTCCCATTTTAGAGAAGAGCAAACAGGAGTAGAGAAGGTGATGGAATAGGAAGTCCCACCTGGCTTCTCTGTCTTCTTAGCGCATGCTCTGAACCATGGCACGATACAAAGGCCTAAGAAAACATCCATAAGAGGAAGCGCAGAACGCAAACAGTTGCTTTCTAGGGCCAGAAGTTTCACCTTTCTGAGTCCCCGGGGGACTCTTCTGGTGGGAGATGGACGTGCAACTGCACTGAGAGGACCCTGCCTCTCGTCCTAGGGATTTCTGGACTCATGTTCTGACCACCAAGCACTGTTGTCTCTCTTCGGGGCTTGCACTGTCAGATTTCATTTCTCAGCTTCCAGAACAGCACGCAGACACAAAGGGAAGTCAGAAGCCCCTGAGCACCTGCCACGCCCACCGTCCACATCCACCGCCAACCCTGCCGAGTGGCACCTGTGACATTTTCCCACATGAGTTTTGTGGTCTCTAATCTCAGTTGGAGCCAGCAGCTCTCAAATCAGTCTTCTAGGATCCAGAAATGCGTCGTGATACTCTCGGAGTGGTGGAGAGACCTCTGACCAGGTCAGAGATTCCCACAGCAGCAGCAGGCAGAGGAGAAAGGGGACGTTGGTGTAATGCTGGAAACTCCGAAAAGGTGACACAGCCAGGGGTCCACCCATCCTGGGAGGGTTCTGTTGGTTCTCCTTTCAATATTTACGCTATCCTTTGTAAAGTCACCTTTAAATAATTCACATGTGACTGCTGACTGCAATTTAGATACTAAATACTGTGGAGATAAATGCAGAGGAAGTAAAAAGTATACCACAGAACAACACCCTTTTCTGTGTTCTCCTGCCAAGGATCTGCCCAGTTGCCACTATTGAATTTGAGTCTTTGAGTGGTTCTGATGGATGTATGTGTGTGCGGTGCATGCTTGCAGGTATACGTGCACTTGAATAGCAGTGAGAAGATCCTGTTCTGACCCTTACACATCGTGAGCATCTCTCGGACTCACACAGCCCTCTTCTTTTTCACGGCAGTGTGGTATTTCACCAGAAGCTGGGACCATCTTCCTTTTCTTCTAATCTCTGCTTTCATAGATCTTTCCTTGCCTAGGGAACCATCCCAGGCTACCCTTACATTTTTGGGTCTTGCCTCAGGGAATGCACAAATGGGAAGGTAGTCAAGGTATGGAAGGCCAGGAGAGGGCCCCACATGGGAGAGCTAGAAGGCGGAGGAGCATGTTCTGTGCTGGCCACTCCCAAGGTACATAGAAGTTCTCTCTCTTCCTCGTGCTACCAGTTGGTTTCTCCTTCTGGCTGAAGCAACACCTCAGATTTATGGGAATCATCCCTGAAATGGCCAAGAGGATCATGGGGAGGGAAATTAAAGTCTGTCTCCTTAGTGCGAGACCATCATTTGGAATTTGTACTCTGGGCATCCAGGCTGGTCCGCTGCCTCCGTACACGATGTAGGAACCATCCTGGCTTACAGTACCTTGCACTCCTGTCTTGGTAGCTGCTCTCTTTGTTTACCAACCTCATCAGGTAGAGATTTGCTCCTTGTCACCAGAAAGACACCCAGTTTAGAGGATACACACATGAGACTGCTTATCAGTTGTCCGCCCTTGAGCAAATTGCACAACCTCTCTGGGTCTGTTTCCTTATCTGCAAAATGGAAATAATAACACCTATCTGACTTGGCAGAGGTTTTCCTTGTAGCTTAGATGAAATATGTATGTTGCCTGCTTGGGGCGTTGTGTGGTGGACACAGAGCACTCAGCGCCTTCTGCATGGCTCTTAATCCTGTCTACAAGCTAAACTTGCTCCTTCTGGAGCTGTCCCAGATGTTAGCGCCTCGGCCTGTGGCAGGGATTCTGAGA